AAAATCAATATGTCGATTGTTACCAATCGGCATCTCTGGTCCCAGATTCATGATTCCGATTTGCAACTCGGGACTAAAGGGGATTGCAAACCAGGACTATTGTGGATTTCTCCAGCAGTGACCATGACTTACCCTGTGCGGTTGGTCTCTCTCTGTTTTTTTTTTTTTTTGAGAAAGTGTGTGGTTTGTCTCTAGTTGTCCTTTTGATAGGAGGCACAACCTTCCTCTGTAATAAATGGTGATATTCTTAAGATGATTATCTCCGACCGGGCGCGCGAAAGCTATGACTTCTTCGGTATTGTTCGAGATTGCTTGTTGTTTGTTTGTTTAAAGTGTTGTATGGGAGAATGAAAGCTCAAAACTAATAGTTTGGTTGGTTGGGCAACATTGGCGGACAAATGTCGGCTTCTTTGAAGACATTGTTTTGGATAGTTATAGGCATATTGCTATTTAGAGAGAAAAAGCTGCCACAAGACAATATATATGATGTGTTCATGCTGTTTAGTTTTTTTTCATTTTACGTACATCCTGGCCGTATGTAATTTCATTACTTAATGGAATATTCATTGAGGCCAGTGATATAGGCCATTTCTATTAAACAATATCAAAGATTAATTACATCGTGCCATGGTATATGTATTCGAGATATAGGCCAGCGATACATGCTTGATCAACCATGTTCATTAAATATGTAAGCTCCGACGTGATGTCTATAACGACGTACATGATGGTGCACATGGTATATGTATTTTTTTATGGGACATGGTATATGTATTTCAATTTGTTAGGTCGATGATTTATTCCTGTGAATTATATTTATTCTTTTTTTCACCCGTGTCAAATTAAACAAAAAAAACAGGCCCGTGCGCATGCATGTGGTCCCTACGACCCTACTACTACTCCCTTGAGTATAGTTTGTGCGTGGCAAGCTAGGCCAGCCTTGCAGGCACCTCGCAAGTCGCACCCGCGCACCGTTTGTTCCCTGATTGCATATGGATCGATCGGTTTGGCTAGCCCGGCCGCGGGCGCCGCACCCGTGACACCGTTGTAACATACAACCTTCATAAGAAAGGCTAATAATACAGCTGACCTGCTGGCTATAAGTTTTTTTTAGACTTCTCTCAGCCTGCCTATATAATAGTTAGCTCTTTATAATTAATACAGGGCCCACTTGTCTCTCACACAGAGTTTCTTAGTTCCTGTGTCCAAGCCGGTTGTAAGTTTACAGCCCGTTTCTCTTCTCTCTCCTCTCTTCTTTTCTCCACCTCAGCATTTAGCCGGCTTATAGCCTACTATTATACTTGCTCTAAAAAAATAAAATCTGTTCAAACTCATAACTAGAATTTTAAGTTTTTTTTTTAAACAAAGGAAGTTTTCGATGAGGTGGATGACGTGTTTCCGACCACAACATTTTTACGATGTATACATACATTTTTAACAAGGACGGTGTTGTGCTGTATGTTGATTTTAAATACCAAACACTTGCAATTTCAACCAGCAAACTAATTAAAATCCCCCCTCCCTCTTTTTTGTTACTACTTGCTGATCTTACGCCCGGTCAGCACGGAGTGGCAATCGCGCGGGAAGGTTCAAATTGGCGCCAACTTTTTTCTCCATGACACCGATGACAGGACCATACAAAAAATGAGCCCAAAGTGGAATCCAAATAACAAGGCAAACAGTCGTTGTTTGCGTACAAATGGGAGCCCATTATTTGTTGGACCGTGGTAAGATTGTGGCCGACGCGAGGGCCCATTACCACAAAGGCTGGGTCAAGATTGTGGCAACGAAGGAATAAGTTCACTTGCCATCCCTCAACTTTACGTCGAGCCTGTAAGATATCACTAATCTCCAATACCAGAAATGTTTACCCCTTAAATGTTCAAAACCATATAAAGTAGGTCCCATGGCAGTATGCATAGGTGGTTTAACTGACGTGGCATTTTAATCAACAAGGCAGAATAAAAACAAATATTGGATCCATGTGTCAAGTGACTTCTCCTTCTTCCTCCTCTCTTCCTCTCTTCTCCATCTATTTCTCTTCGTTTCCTCCATGCCAGCAAGCCGCCACTGGGCACCCCCGCCCGTGGTAGCGAAGCCGCCGCCCTCCTCCGGCATGCCGCCAGCCGTGCCCACATCCCCTGTGGATGTGGGCATTGATTGATTTATAGAAGAGTAGAGCTGTGAAGTCTGCGCATGCATCAACAAGAGGAAAATCGATTGGATGGCGAGGAGCGAAGCTGTTGATCTGATGATGGCGAGGAGAAGAAGATGCAGAGGTTGGTCTGTTGATCTGATGATGGCGAGCACGACGTCGGCGACGACCACCGTGGGGGCATTCGCCGCCGCCTCCGCCTCCGTCGTGAAGACGTAGGCGGGATCGGTTGCGGCTATGGTGGGATGCGCGAGTATGACGTCGGCGACGGCTGTCGCAGGGTCTTTCGCCACGAAGGAGTGGGTGTGGGGTTAGCTGTGATTGTGACGGGAGACGCGTGCACGAGGGTCACAGCCTGCGGGCGAAGCCGGTCTAGCGTGGTGGGGTACGACGGCCGCCGAGGGGGCGTTCGCCGTCGCCTCCGTCACGAAGACGCGGGTACGGTTGGCTGCGGCTGCAGTGGGTGGCGCGAGCACGGGTTGGTGACGGCTACTGCGGGGTTGTCCTCCGTCACGAAGGTGCGGGTGGGGATCGGCTATGGCTGTGCTGGGAGACGCGTGAACGAGGGTTGCCACCGGCGAGCGGATGCGCGGTAGGGTGTGACGGTCGTCGTGGGGCGTTCACCGCCACCACCGCCATGAAGACGCGGGCGGGGTCAGCTGCGGTTGCGGTGGGTGGTGCCAGTACATTGTCGGTGACGGCTGCCGTGGGGGCATTCTCCTGGCATTGTTCACCGCAAAAGGCGCGAACAAGGTAGGCTATGGCAAAAGGCGCGTGCACAAGGATCGCCGCTAGCGAGCGGAGGTGGTTCAGCGTGGTGCGGTGCGACAGCCGCCACGGTGGTGTTCACCGTGAAGACGCAAGCGGGGTCGGTTGCCGCTGCAGCACGGCGGCGGTTGTGACAGCTGGCGCGTGCGTGGTCCGGCATGGGAAAAGGAACAGTAAAAGTAGTAGGTGATGATACATGGGTCCCACTATTTTTTTATTTTCTTTTTTTTTTTACTAAGATGCTACGTCAGCTAAACCGCTTATGCATACTGCCATGGGACCTATTTTATATGGTTTTGAATTCCTGAGGGGTAAACATTTCTGGGATTAGAGATTAGGGAAATCATGTACTCGAACTTACCGACGTTAATAATTGGAGAATGCTGCGCGCCGGGCGTCCGACTGCAGAAGGAAATATCGGACGCCTCGGGCGCCCGCGCCTCTGCCGCTCCTACTTTAAGTAGTTTTAAAACGATTTTTCTCTTAAACTAATTATCCAATCTATGATCCGATCACACCGTTGTATTTGTTACAATTAAATCTTTACAACAAGACCACACATGATTATATTTCGATAAAAAAATATTTTAGCCTTTCTATTGATATTTTTTTTGAATATTGCATATGATCTCTTTCAATGTTTCAACCAGTAATTTTACGATGTTTCAGCTAGTGTACTTGCGATGTTTCACTATGTACGGATCAAATGTTGCAGTGGATTTTGATATTATGGAACGCGCCGTTGCAAAAAATCACCCACATATTTTGGAAAACCCTATTAAGGAAATTTGGTTTATTTTTTGTTCCACCAAAAATGTTTCACCTAGTGTACTCACAATGTTTCACTATGTATAGATCTAATGTTGCAGTGAGCTGAAATATTCTATTGCAACAAAAAACCCACATATTTTAGAAACCCCCTATTAAGGGGAATTCGTTTCATTTTTTTGTTCCACCAAAAAATATTTCACCTAGTGTACTTATAATGTTTCACTATGTATGGATCAAATGTTGCAGTGAATTGAAACGTTCTTTCGCTATTTGCTGAAACATTATTTTTATACAAGGTGAAACAACACCCGATTTAAACGAGTGAAATATTTTCGATCTACAATTCCGATATACCTGGTGGAACATCGTGCAACATTTAAAAATAATTCAATAATAAGCTAAAAAAAATTCATCGGAATATATCCATGTGTGGTCTTGTTTTGAAAATTTAATTGCAACAAATTTAATGATGCAATCGAATCATGATTTGGATAAGTAATTTAAGAGAAAAATCGGTTTAAAGTAGTTTTTACATGTAAATCGGACGCTGACGTCAGCGTCCGATTTTCCTCCAAACATCAGACGTCCGAGCCGGAGTTGGGGGGCGGCTGATACGCGATCAGTCGCGCGCCCCTACGCGCGCAGTCAATCGCCCCCCTCTATGCCTCTAATCTCTTCTCTGTTTCTACTATACTTATGTATATATTACATATACACACGTATATACATATGTATATATATGAATATACGTGTGTGTATATATATGAATATATTTTTAATGCATAAAAAATATATACACATATACAAAGTTTATATACGATGTATGCAAACTTTGTATACGATTATACAAACTTTATATATATATATATATATATATATATATATATATATATATATATATATATATATATATATATTAAAAAATAAAAAAAAAGAAATTACATCATGTATACAAAGTTTGTATACGCGCGTATAAAAACTTTGTATACGTACGAATATAAACTAGCTTGGTATACATACGAATACAAACTTTGTATTCATACATCTTTAAAAAAACCGAAAAAAAAACAGAAGAGAAACAAAAAAAGAAAAACCAAACTGAATAGAAAGGGAAAAACGGAAAAAAAGGCAAAGCGAACAGAAACGAAAAACGCAAAAAAAAAAAAGGGAAACTCGTTCTCCCGCGTGGCGCGTCTGCCATCCCTTTTTCGTGCGCGACACATGTCCAATCGCGCGGGGAGGGACACGCGCGACTGACCCCCGGAGTCGCCTCCTTAATAATTGCATCGGCCTGGCGGGGCGGGGTTTGCACTTGGCAGCGACCTCCAAGGCCCAAAGCCCATATATACCTAACAGGCCAGCCAAACCCAGCCCACGAAGCCGTGAGCCGTCGCGCCGATATATCTTGGTGGACTTGTGCCCAAGCCGCGAGTTTGCCCTAGCCGCCGCCACTCGCCGTCGTCGACATCGTCTCCGCTCCTGAGCTCCAGATCCAGAGGCCTCTCCCGCCTCCAGGCTCGCCGGCCGCCCGCCCGCCTTCGCTGCCGATGGCGGAGGAAGCCACTGTAAGCGGCCTTCCCAAAACCCTCGAAAGTTTCTTCTCTCCGTTCGCGTGGTTTTCTGGGGAAACTACTAACCTTACCTGGTCTCTTGTTTCTTACTCTCTCCTAGCAGCAGGGGAAGAAGGAGGAGGAGGAATTCAGTACGGGGCCGCTGTCCGTGCTGATGATGAGCGTGAAGAACAACACCCAGGTTGGTTGGTGCTGGGATTCTTCTTCTTCTGGAGTTTGATTCAGCCAAACTTCTTTACTGTTTACTGTGGTGTTTGCTACTGTTGCTTTACTTGTGGGTTTCCCCTAGCCGGGAATTCGTTTGTTCTACGTGTTCTTGCCGGCAGACTAGCCAATTAGTCAAATATAGTTTAAAACCTAGCTCAGTTACTCTGTTTCCTCACTTAGACGTATTCTTCTGCAAAAGTACATCCTTACATGTTCCAACTAATTGGATTGAGGGGATGAAGAATATTACAACGGTGTCATCATGCCTATAGAATTCTTGTTCCCTACCTATATGACGTGGAATAGTTAGAGTTGCCTCTTACCCATCCCAAGTAGATCAAGTTGTCCAGGATGTTAGCTATGTTCATAAATCCATATCATATTAGTATAATGGTTATTTTTAAAGATTTTACATCCTCAAACTGGAAATATTGAACAATGTTACTAACTTATTAACTACTAGTTATCGTGCATGTGCAATGACTACTACTTGATTTGATCACTTCACTATACAAATTACACAGCGACTTGAGGTGGTTTTGCTCTAGACTGAAGGTATTTCATAGAGAAAGTTCAACATATACTTTGTAGTTCTTCTATTAACAATTTAACATTGAACATATATATGCTGTACAGGGTGATATAAGGCCATCTATCAAATCTTCGAAGAAAATTACGTCTAAATAAAAAATAAATAACTGAACCAACCAAATATCCTTGAGATCTTGATTATGCAGTAAATATTAGTACTTATCGTGGAGTCCTGTATAGGATTTGCTTCCATACTATTAGCTTTGCACTGCATGCATGTAAAATCATTGGAAACAAAAATAAAATAAGTTCGCTAAATTTAACCATTTTTGTGAAAATGTATCACTACTTTTGACACAAACTGTGAAAGTTAATCGATGTAAAAATTGAATGTGTGTAGAAATAAGAAAACACAGTAACATCATACAGCTTAGTCATACATTGTGCAGCTATTGAAAATAATGTATGAAGTAATCACAAGCATATGCACATGGCTAAAATTTATGTACATCATTAGTAACTAAAAGTCATCAACACACCGCGATATTCAAAATGGAAGAGAAAAATACATCTTTACATGGAATTATTGAAGGAGGAATAAGGAACATCAGAATCCATGCTTATGACTTCTGAAATAAGGAAGTGCCCTTCTCCTGATGGGTGAATGAACTCTGGATTTCTGAAAAAAGGAAGTGTTCTTTTCCTGATAGGTGAATGAACTGTAGTTTCCTCAACTCTGTTAGCCAATAAGGATGCTCTCTAAGTCCCGTTATGTTAATGAAGCCTTTTGAATGTATATGAATAATTGACCATAGTCCTTCTGTTGTAGTGTTAGTGTAAATGCTGTCTTTAGGAGTTACCTACAGCCCGTTATGTTAATGAAGCCTTTTGAATGTATATGAATAATTGACCATAGTCCTTCTGTTGTAGTGTTAGTGTAAATGTTGTCTTTAGGAGTTGCCTACATAGTTAGCCCACCATAAACGGTTGTTCTGACTATAGTTGATGCTTTGTATGATATGCACTGTTCTGATTCTATTTACTCTTCTTTCTAGGTGCTTATCAATTGCCGGAACAACAAGAAGTTGCTTGGTCGTGTGAGGGCATTTGATCGCCATTGCAACATGGTTCTTGAGAATGTTAGGGAGATGTGGACTGAGGTACATGGTGTTATCTGAAGTTCTAAACCTTTGGTCCATTTTCCGGTCCTGCTATTTTTCAGTAACATGGGTTTCTCTTGCTGCAGGTACCAAAGACTGGTAAAGGCAAGAAGAAGGCTCTTCCAGTGAACAAGGACAGGTTCATTAGCAAGATGTTCCTACGTGGGGATTCGGTCATCATTGTGCTCAGGAACCCGAAATGAGTTATATGGTCTTGTATCCAGGATTGTCTCTTTGCTACGTCGCTCTTAGTAATGTCCAAACGCCTTTGGCTAAGATTGACCAGAATCAGCTATATTTGATGGTTCAGTGTTGTAGTTGGAGTTGTTATGGATTATGAACGTCTCTTGTATCTAAGTTGCATCGTTAGCATCTGTTTGAATCATCAATATATTAGCTGAAGACAATTTGGAACTGCACTGCTTCTGTTTCGTGTTGATTTCTCACTTTCTGAATTGCTAAAAGCACTGCAATGTATTGATTGCGCTATGGCAGTATGTAGGTGTTCTCATACAAATTTTATGTGATATGAAGCCTAAGGGCATGTACAACCCACAGACAGGGGTGTGTCTCCAAGAACCTCGAAGTTATCATCCAGACAGATATAAATATAAAGACAGCTCATACAACCCACATATAGAGGGTCTGTCTGTAAGCTGTTTAATGCTTTGCATGTAGCTTTGATCAACTGCAAATGCATTTATGTATACCATTGTGTGGCTATATATTTGATTAATACTATCAAGCATAGAATAAGATATATGATTACAATAATTTTTATGAACCATAAATATAATAATTATATTACAATGCCTTTAGTCTATCGGCAAGATAGTAACCCATGTCATATTGTGTTCCGTTTCCGTTGTAGTGTATCGTTGGAGCTTCCTCTTTTATTGCTTGAATAAACAGTGGCGACTTGTTTAGAACGTTGATGTCATTTTGAGACCCGGCGGTACCAAAAAAAGCATGCCATATACGAAGATCTTTAGTTTCCACTGCTTCAAGAATCATAGTAGGAACGCCTTTGTTACCACAGTGAACATGCCTGCCCAACCTTTCGAACAATTCTTCCATGGCCAATATATACAATCGATGCTTCCGTACATTCCAGGAAAATCACGAGCCTCATTTTCTTGTAAGATTTTTTCCAATTCATCGGCTCTTGGCGGGCGTAGATATTCGTCACCAAACTTTTCAATCACCCCTTCAGCAAATTTTCCCAAACATTCTAAACAAGTGCTTGGAGCAATCCTCAAGACTTCATCAAGTTAATCAGCCGCGGTTCCATAACCTAACATCCTGATAGCTGCTGTACACTTTTGAAGCGGTGAAAGACTATTCCTACCAGTTGCATCAACTTGTTGGGTGAAATAAGGAGACCACTCACTAAGTTCATGTACGATAAGCAGAAACAACGGCCGTCTCATCCTAAATCTCCTACGAAACATTTCATCGGTGTAGATAGGATTTGCGGAAAAGTAATTAGCGACAAGATCATCATGACCTCATTCTCGATTTCTTGGTATGTATCACTTGAATCCTTCTAACTGTGATCGAAAATCTCGTTTGTGATCATAACACCTGTTTATATTATTTGTGATACGAAATGTTAAATTCTAGAGTAACGGCAGGGAAGGAGATCCTCTGACTTCACACAGTGAAGAGAGGAGAAGCACAATGCTGTGCCTTTAGAATATTTTCAGCTGTCAAATTTACAGCGAACTAACGATATCGATGGCTACAGCCCACTACAGTAGCACATGAATGGTACATATATACAACACTTTTACTGTTTGCCATTGTTACCACAATAAACTGCAAAATCATTGTTTCCCACTTTAGCACAAGGCACATATTACTATGCTCGTATGCCTTTATCACCTAAAGACAGAGGAGCCGGATCCGGAATGATATGGATTGTGGTTGAACTACTGCCCCATACTTAACTTCTGGTGTTGGCTTACGGACCGTTGACTCTGGTATCTCAGCTATCAATGCACAGGTACACACCAGTTTTCTTTTCAAACCATTATTTTTCATATATTTGAAATAGCATTGAAATTGTAGATTGTACTTTTAATCGTTTTGCAATTCATACTGCGCAATTAAGCACCTAGCTATATATAGGGAATAAAAGACCAGTTCTTTTACATGTATCATCCTTGTCTGAATGTACGTATTTAAAAAAAATTGATAACCATAAAATGTTTGGACAACCAGTGGGTTACGCACGAATTCAACGAGCACCTTTTGGGCAACAATAGTGATCCTGCATTTCTAGTCATTCTCGGCACCGACAATGAGGATTCTTAGACAAACGAATGAATAATAGGTTGTAAAAACAAACAACCAAATCTTCTCCAAGCTGCTGACCTTACACCTAAGGCGGCACTCCTTGGTTTTGACTAGCCAGAGCGCTTTCATCCGTGGACAGAGCAACCACGATAACTTCACGTATGTGCGCAACCTAGCTCGAAGCTACCACAGGAACAAGCGACCCACACTGCTGTTCAAGCTCGACATCTCCAAAGCTTCCGACTTCGTTCGTTGGGATTACCTAATGGCGTTGCTTCAGCATCAGGGTTTCCCGCAACGGTGGATAAATTGGCTAGGGGCCCTCCTCGTAACCTCCCATTCAAAGATCCTTCTCAATGGCATCCCAGGGGAGGAGATTCGCCATGGTTGTGGACTCTGTCAGGGCGATCCACTGTCCCCTCTCCTCTTCATCCTTGCAATTGACCCACTCCAAAAAAATTATGGGCAAAGCTACGGAGCTAAAGATTCTCAGCAGTTTGAGAGGCATGCATGCACACCTTTGAACCTCTCTCTATGCAGATGCGCCGTGGTTTTTATCAACACAATTTATTGATGCTCCCACGAGCCTTCTCGAGAAGTTCGGAGAAGCAACGAGCCTTCGCACAAACTTCCAGAAATCGCTGGTGGCACCAATCAGGTGTGACAATCTTGACATCGACACCATCCTGGGGGAATCCCAAGTCACAAGGACAGCCTTTCCGCTGAAATATTTAGGCCTACCTCTAATGCTCGGTCGATTGCACAAAGTGCACCTCTAGCCCCTCTTCGATTAGTCGGTAGGACGCCTGGCTGGGTAGATAGGGAGGAACCTGGGTCTGACGGGTAGAACAACCTTGGTTAAATCTATGCTCACCTCGCAACCTGTCTACCTTCTCACCGCCCTCAAGGTGAACAAAGAATCCTTGGAAGTTCTCGACAAGCAACGAAAATGTTTCCTCTGGGCCAGATCTCGAGACATCACTGGCAGAAAATGCAAGGTCAACTGGATCAAAACTTGCATGAGGATCCTCAACCTCGAGAAATTTGTGACGGCCCTACACCTTCACTAGCTAGGGCACAAGTGGAGGTCACTAGAAAATGCTTGGGTGGGAATGGAGACGTTGTGCAACAACAATGACAAACTCCTCTTCGCGGTAGCCGTCAAAATTCAAATCGGCAACGGGAACACGATTAGCTTCTAGGATAGCTGCTTGGATTAATGGTCGACGGCCTAAAGATGTTGCACCCCTAGCGTATTCGGTCTCCCGGAGAAAGAACCGTTTGCTCAATAAGGCAATCTCGAGCTGGCAGTGGCTTGAAGGTCTCGACTTACCCATTGCACATGGGGTGACAACGAATTTGCTCGACCAACTGGTCACTATGTGGACGGCAATTCAACAGATAACACTATCACCAGACGAGGCCGACGATATCTCTTGGAAGCTCACCAGCTATGGGGAATACACCGCCTCCTTAGCTTACAAAGCGCAATCCTTCGGATCACTCAAAACAAACTTCGATACCTTAATCTAGAAAGACTAGGCCTCAAGGAAATGCAAAACCTTCGCGTGACTAATCATTCAAAACAGGGTATGGACATCAGACAGACTCGAAACTTGAGGATGGCAAAACAACAGTTACTATCCATTATGCCATTGCACAGGGGAAACTGCCCTTCACCTAATGGTGGAGTGCATATTCACAAGGAGAGTTTAAGAAGCGATCACTACCTGGATAGCCTGCAACCACATGAGGCCGACTAACTGGGTACAAGCGACATCAGTCCACGACTGGTTGGAAAAGCTAGCAACACACTAGGGTGTCCCCAGAAAAGGTATTCGATCCCTAGTCTTCCTAATCTCTTGGGAAATATGAAAAGAGCGGAACCAGAGAATCTTTAGGAACAAGGAGCTATCCCCTGATCTTATTGCAAAAATTAAGGAGTCCAGATCTTGGGCACTGGTGGGAGCCAAACGCCTAGCTAAGATATTGCCATAGAATGCCGCTTTGTCTGTAAATATCTCCTTGTTTTTTTTTACCTGTAAATAACACTCCTTCTATATTCAACGAATAGACACGCTGTGTCTTTCGTTCAAAAAAAAAAAAACCAAATCTATGGTTAAAACAACAGAATTATCGAGAAATGGATGGTGAGAGTGAGCTCGACATGTGAAAGGATGTAAAAAGATGTCCATGACATGGGCATGGGCATTGCCTGTAGTTTTCACCTATGCCGTTGCATCATGCTGGCGAGGGAGCTGCACCTGTCGATCGAGCACGAAAATGGCGGTGATGGGAGATGTCATTGCCACACCCCTTCTCCCTCATGGGTCCCTTGCAGGGCTATCAGTCGTGAGAGTGTGGGAGGGGATCCAAACGACGGCGAGATGGAGTGGATGGCTGACAGTGGGTGCAAAGCGGCAAAGGGGATCAGGAGATCGGCCATTGGGCGCGGCATAGGAGGCGCGGTAGTAGGCGGAGGCCGGGCACGGCGAAGGGGGAGAGTGTGCATCGTGGTTGAGCAAATGACGGGAATGGGTTTGGGGGAGTTGCACGAATGATTTCATCCGGAGGATCGTGGGATGTATCTGGACCGTTGGGTCTAATGATCGAATGATCCGTATTTAACGTATTTGCTCAAATTACTACATTATAGTACAGATGGTGACGTTTTATATTCAATGAAATTAGTACAACCTTAGTTTGTATTTTGTGCCGCTCCGTTTAAAAAGAGACTAAGAGAGAATACTGCTATGATCTAATTGCTATTTTTTCATCACCATAGTGGCCAAGGTCCTTGACTAACTAGTAACAAATTAAATATTTCCCACATCACACATGCCACCTTTTTCATCTTTTACATCCAACAGAAAAACATCGATTTTCAATTGATAGAATTGGACCAAAATGAGGGACAAAAGTGAATTCGTTTGAGATGAGGCAAAATAAAAGAGTTTAGAGACAACTCAAAAAATTTCAAAAGATTTGTTGTCTTGTACTAAGTTTGTCAATTAAAATTAGTCAGCTTGTATCATGAATATAAATGAAATTTGTTTTTCTCGTACATAAATTAATGCAAGTAATAGTCGAATTTCTATCTATTTGTACTCTAGATAGAAATTCGAATCATTTTCTCAAACCATATGAGCACAAAACC